CTAAAATTAAGAGGCCTGAGACAAGAACAAGGTATTTCTTTCCTCACAGCTTGAGTGCAAATCTCGTTAAGAATGCCAGGAGGCAATAAACACTAACTTGTTTTCAGATCAATTATGCTAAAGCAGTAGGTTGTTATTTGGATTAATTTCTACATGTATTACAATGACAGCTGGAACCTGTGAAGATGAAGAGAGGCGGCTGTGGGCTGTGTGCACCTCTGAATTTCCATACTCACAAGCTCAGCATTGTGTTTATTTCAGTCAGTGGCTTTTTCTTTGTTTTTCATCTCCACAGGGCATTTTGAACAGACCTGGCTCAGGAACTTTGCCTGACACCCTCAGATATTTGGCAGAGACCCTCTTCTCCATTGAAAGGCTAGAGGCATAAACACTTCATTTTGTGTTCTCATTAATGGTAAGCCAAACTTCCCCCCCTCAGTGGGCAGAAAAACACTCACTTTAACCACTACAGAAGTGAGGTCAGGGCTGCCACATCCTTGGAGTGGCAGGAGAGAAGAATGGCCAATTGGACACATTTCTGGGGTGCTGGGCGAGCGCTGCAGCCCTTTTTGTGTCACTGTCAGTCAGCTGCTAATGGGATTTTTTGAAATAATCCACATAGTTAACCATCCTGGTTGTTTGGCTCCCAGAGTCATCAGAGAAAAGTTAAGCTGTGGGGGTGTGAATGGAGCAACTAGCTGAATAAAGTGATTCAATATGTAATTCTGTTCTGATGCAGAAGAGATCATAATGTTACAAATGATCATAATTATTTGTACTCAAATGCAACCCAAGCTAATACAAAGACTGTGGAGAGTAAGAAAACTTTCTGATGAAACAGTAAAAATTCTGTCATTCCAGAAACCACATAGCTCAGAGATGTCTTAATCCTTCACGTTGCACTTTCCCAAAGAAGAATATTATGTCATAATGGCATCAGATCTTGACAAACCTAGACATTTATGCCAAATTCCTCATTAGATTGTTCTTTTCGGAGCACAGGATTGCAATTCCATAGCATCTAAAGAATATATAAGAATATATTATGCCTTTTCTCCAAATGATGCAGGTACAAGCTTGTTCCATTCTGGGAGGTTCAGCTTCTTTTAAGAAAGACTCAGCCACTACTGATGAGTTGAGTATGAGACATTACTTATTGCCAGTGAAATTCTTTAAAATCTTTGTCACATAAACAACAGAAAATCTGCCACTGGTGAAATAATAGGCTTTACCTTCCCATGGGTTTTATTTTTCCTTGGAAATGAAAGGTTTAGGGTTATTCTGCACTTCTCTACTGTAACAAGAAATGCCGTAGGGTCCATTTATCTCTTCTCCAAGAAGTTCAGCTTCATTTCATTTTACATACAACAACGTGTTGTTGCTACACAGAATAACCTGGAGAAAGGTAGTTACAGCTCATAGGCTGTATCAATTCTCATTTAAGCTAGGAATTTGCACAGCACAGAGCCAGACTGAGAAAAAAGGAATAACTAATGAGGAGGTCGGCTAGAGAGAGCAGTTCAAACTGTCACATAATCACTCTGCAGTCCTTGATTTAACAAGTGTTACAAGTTTCACTATTGCTACACTTACAAGCACTTAAACTGTGGTTAATCTTCATAGACTATTTTCACACACTATGTCAGGCTTGCTCAGGAAGTACATAGGGAACAGTAAGAGAAGTGCTGGGAACATAAGTATGACAAACTTGACTCTCAGAAATACAAGCTGTCCTATAAAGAGACATTTAAAGTGAGTGCTACTATTCAGGAACACACATAACCATTTCATATTTTTGTACTAAAACTTGGTCTTCTGTGCTGCAGTCGCATCAGTACATAAATGAACAAATAAATAACCAAACAAACAATTTGGTACTGCTTTCAAAGCCCTCTTAGTTATGCAATTACACCAAACTCTTTAACCTGGTTTTCTAAAAATTCCATCAGTGGTGAATTGAAATACGGATGATGCACAACTGAAATTCAAGTAAAATTCTAATGTGTTGTCTGCGGCGTGTGTTGTATTGTGACTTCAATTTGTGAAGTTAGAAACACTGGTTTGCTAACTTATTTCTGTAGGAAAAACAAACAAACAAAAAAGCAAACTTCCCTGTTATTTTATCTTAACTGTTTTAAAGAATCCAACAAAAATATCCACTATGTGAAACTTGGCAAGTATTTCATTTCTAGCCCACTACAGGTGATTTGTATGAGAACACGCTATCGATCTCTACACGGACCTACCTCATTTCAAATACTAGTATGTTTTCAACTGTTTTGAGGACAAGAACCCCATTTTACATACTCACTGTATGTGATGAGAGCATGTATATAGAACATGTATTTTTCATATATACCTTTGTCCTCTTAAAAGCTTTCAGATAAAAGGCAGGCAGAAGAAATGAAACGTGCTGACAGTGTGTATGACCAGCACCCTAAACATCTTGTTATTAAGGTCTCCTTATGCTACTTAGAATCCTTTCCTCATTAGCAGCTTAAGTCAGAGAGATGCTTTCTATAAGGAGAGGCAGTTTTGCATTTTCTGTCGGAGTCCATTTATTTGTGAGAATTCCTGAACAAAGAAAACACATGTAATTGTAGGGCTAGAGGTGGCTCATTTTTCACTACCTGCTATTTTTTTCCTCTATTTTCCTTGCTAATGCTACGATTTGCATCTCAGCATCCAAGTACATGCCCATTATAGGGAGAAAACTACTTACCCTCTTCTTAATTAACCAGTAGTCCTATAAAGCTTTCAGAGGCTGGTATTATATACTTTAGAGGAATATAGATCAATCAGTAGACAAGAGGAAAAACTGCCCAACCCCATGCAAAACTAGGAGTAAATCACTGACAATGCTTTTTGTACCACAAGATACTTTAAAACACTTGAGTATGTTTCAGAGATACCAACAAATTTTGACAAAACAGATTGATAGAAAATGGTGCTAGGAAGCAGCAGCATCCATAAAAAGGACTTTCCTCATGTTGCAATGAATCCAGATTCTCTGAACACATCCATACATATGGGAATTTTGTTTTCCGGAAACCTGATGAAGTAAATAATGACCGGTTCTATGATAAGCATTTCCCCTAATGAAGTGAGAATCATCCTGCATGCCTTACACACATATCAACAGTCCATTATCTAATTAATTACTATCAGCGATGAGTCACACCAAATGAGAATTGATAACGCTTGTATGGACAATTAACTAACAGGAATCCACCTGTACCAGCAGCATCACCCCATCTTCTTTATTCTTCAGATGACTAATTATTAACACCTATCATTCCCTTCTTCAGTAATGTACTAGGCATCTACCCACAATGCTCAGTAAAATTCCTGAAATCCCTGTCTGTCATCCTACACAGATCTCTTAAATATCATCTCAGCATACTGCCTCATGGTGATAGCATTTCCCCTCTTGCTAAGTTTACAAACTCACAGTATTCCTTGTAAAAGAAGAAGTAGGAGCCCTTCAAAATCTCAGTTAAAAAAAATACTTTAAAAATCCAAAGATGATTCCTATTGTGTAACTACCCTGGTCAGAAAACAAAAAACCTTTCCAGATTGATCATAGAATGGCTTTTGTCAGAAGGGACCTTAAAGATCCAACCACTCTGCCACGGATAGGGTTTACACCCACCAGATCAGTTTGCACATGGCCTCATCCAACCTGGACACCTGAACACCACCAAGGATGGGGCAGTCACAGCCTTTGCAGGCAGCCTGTGTCAGTGCCTCACCACTCTCTCAGGAAAGAATTTCCTTCTAAAAGTTGATCTTTCATGCGATTTTCTCACCAATTTTTTTTTCTATCAAAGATCAATATTTAAAGAGGTTCTATCTCTAGAGAACTCTCATTTCAACAAGCACTTCATGCACACACGCACACACACACACCAACAAAAAAAACCCAAAACCCTGTAATTCTGAACTATTGCTTAAATCTTATAAAAATTATATCTCCCTGTAATTCCAAATTTATTCTGACTTCTGTCAAAAATTAATAAGAAAACAAAGACTGCTCTTTTTATTCCCATGTTCGAGGTATCTTCAGTAAAACTTATTTTCCCTGTAACAGTGAACATACATGAACACAGAATTTTACAAGCTGACTCACACCACCATGTGAGTGTGCTGTTTTAGTTGCAGCAGTCATTTTCATTGGTGCATCTTTTAGCTACAATTAAGACCAACAACACAACATCAAGAGCTGTCTTCAGAGAGTGTCTTTGCTAGGCTAAATCCTGTCAGCCACCCCTGTAGTTTTGCTCAATCCCAGCAATTTCATCATAGCCTTGTAGAATCAGTCTTGTAACATCTTGTCATACTAGTAGCATCAACTACCCAAGTAAACTCTGAATAGACAATTAGTTACGACACGTAAATATGTTAACTTCAAACTATTTTATAACACCTTTTGTTTTGGTTGCTCTTGTTGTTCAACGTCTCTTCCTCCATACTGATAGATTATAACAATGACTTTGACAAGGCAGCCCTTCCCCTTTTCTTACTGCCAATTGCTCAAGTTTTCCTATCATTTCAGGATTTCCTTTCGCCTTTGGACAGAAGGCTAGGTCATTATCAAATTTTTCCAAGTGAAAGAATGTTTCCTGTAGGCATATCATTCTCATGAAAACTCACATTTCCCCTTCGTAGAGCCCCTCTCTGCAGCTGATGCCAGATTACTTATTAACTACACGCCAGAATCACCATGCATTTGCAGTGTCTGCTGGGGATGTTCCATATTTACTCTGTCTTTACCAGCGTCAACTGGCAGAACAACAGGCAACGTCACACAGAGACAGACGTCACTGCTGACCTGGTGGGAGGACACATCTGTCAATGCGGTGTGACCTTCTGACCATCTTCTAGTCTCTTCTAAACACCACACAACTTCTCTTCTACCACTAAGCATCTCTTAGTGCCTTGCAGATTAACTATTGGACTCTTCCAAGCCAAGCCAAGCCAAGCCATCACCATTCCATACATTTTATAATGATGAATTTTTTATTATTGAAATTGAGTGAAATAATCTGAGTTGATCACAAAGCTAGTTGTTTAGCTTGTAAACAACATATGTATAGATAGAGGGAAAAAGGAGGCTGGTTGTTTTGGTCATAAATTCTAGTGCTTTATGATTGCAAATAAGCATAAAAATGATATTCAAATAGTTAGCAAACGTTACACTTTGTCTCAGTGAAGAGCTATAAGTCTTGATGTATTAAGAAGAACAGAGAAGACCATGATTTGCAATTGCTTGGTGCTCACAGTTATCATAAAACACTTTGCAAAAATCAATATATGACAAAATGGACACAGAAAAATTTCTTTCTTCAAAAGCAGAGGGGCAGCACTGAAAAGAAACAAGAACTAAATCATGCAGATTACTAGTCCTTAGAGATAATTTAAAAATGATGTTTTGGATGTTAGTATACAAACTTACAAGAAGTTCAGAAAAAGTAAATGTGATGTTTTAATATCCCATGAAAATATATAAAAGTGAAAGACAAATCTAAATAGAAGATATTAAATAGCATAATGCTTAAGGCCTTATCTGTAGTGACGAGAACATAAACAGTAAAGAAAAAAAATATATGAGCTCAATGCTAGATGACTGATTACAAGAATTTTGCTGCTGTGTATTATTAACAATACTAAATACTAATGCTGTCATTTCAATCTGAACAGGTTCTGTGCTCCTGACCACTCTATATCTTAGCACTCCATATCTTGATAAGCAGATTTTCTTTGAAAGTCAGCTACGGTAGAGACATGGTGGCTATCCCTATCCAAAAGAAATAAAAGTTTCAGTATTTCCATATTTTGAAGGAAAAACACAAGTCAAAGTCCCTCACAATTGATTTGAAGAAGACATTTTTACATTTTTTCTTTTTTTTTTTTCTGTGCCTCGTAACTGCAATTCAGACAACGCCAAACAAGCTGGTTAATTTTTCAGTGGTCAGTAAAAACTATATTGTTAGTTGTTCTTGCATTAAACTATTTAGTAAACAAGAAGCACTTCTCCTGCATTATTCATAGATGTGGCAGATGACATAAAACAAATCAAATCACACTGAATCCAGCAGAAGTTCATTTCAGTGAAGTTCTTCTTAGAGCTTAGTCTACATTGAAATAATCCCTACAAGGAACTGAAAGTCAGGAATCCTGCTGTGTAATAGTACGGCATTTGAAATCGTAACTTATTAAACATAATTCTATATTAGCATCCCTGCATGGCACCTAAGTGTTTTTGTATTAGAGGAAACTACATTATGTCTACATCCGAATGAAAAGAAAGTGTGGAACATGTATGAAAAATTCTAAAGTCTTAAACATTTTTTTTTTCTTTTTTCCATTTCAAAATTTTGGTAAAAACAAGGTCACAAATATGAAATGGATATTGATGGCACTTAGGCACTCTTCCCATGGAAAAGAGACAGCTGGAGTAAGAACAATGATTACTTGATATTTCAGTAATGGCCTCTGGAAGCTCACTGACAAAAGATGCAAGTTCTTCCCTCAAAATCTATTAAAATTGGTTTAACTTTTTTTTTTTTTTTTTTTTTTTTTTAAATGACAGAACTTTTTATTTTTTTATTTGAACTACAGATGTCCATGTAGTTTTTCAAATGGCAATACAACAGTTGTGTAATACTGGACTCGATAACACACAGAGGAACATCCATACAAGAAATAACTGTACTTAAAGATTCAAACTCTGAGTCTTTCAAACAAGTAACAAGTCTCTCCACAACAAGAATCAAAACACACTGTGCCAGTACATGAGGATTTTTAAATGTCAGACCAGGTTTTCAGAGCAGAAGTCAGAGGAAAGCATCAGTCTATCACAATTCATTGTGTACAGTCTCTTCTACAAACTCAAGTTTTTGAATCTCTGTCCTTTCAAAGTTCATACTTTTAAATCTTTCTTCAAGCCTATCAGAATCTTCTTCACTGTCTGTACTACTCAAGTTCGTGTCAAAATCCAGTTCATCCTCCAGTCCACTTTCCTGGCCGTTTTTAGAAGTCTTATCCTCAATTCCATCTTGTCCTTTATTGATCCTGCAAAAAATCAATATTAAGTTAGCAACTATTACTTCTGGAATTTATAAGTATTTTAAATAAGAATGGGATGAAGGACACAACAGTCTACCTGGGTGGTGGGGGAAGGAGAAAGGAGAAAATAATCTAAAATTACTTTCATGTTGAGTAGACAGTAAGGGAAAAGAGACTAAGAAATAAAAAGAATACATATTTAAGTATGATAAAATCATAGAATAACTTAAGTTGGAAGGAAACTTAAGGATTAATCAAGTTCCAACTCCCCTACCACATGCAGGACTACCAATCAGTAGATAAGTGCTAGGCCTGGTTGCCCAGAATCCCATCCAGCTTGGCCTTGAATACCTTCAGGGACGAGGCATCCACAACCTCTATGGGCAACCTGTTCCAGCATTTCACCACCCTCTCAGTGAAAAGCTTCCCCTGACATCTAACATAAATCTTCTCTCCTTTACTTTAAAACTATTTCCCCTTGTCCTATCTCTATCTACCTGTGTAAAAACTCGACTCTCTTGTTTACGACTTCCCTTTAAATAATGGAAGGCCACAATGAAGTCTTCCTGCAGCCTTCTCTTTCCCAGACCAAACAAGACAGGCTCCTTAAGCCTGTCCTTACAGAAGAGGTTCTCTGGCCCTCTGATCAGCATCATGGCCCTCCTCTGGACTCTCTTGAAAACAGCTCTACATTTTTTCTGTGTGCAAAGACTGGAGGCAGGACTCCAGCTGGGGCCTCATGAGAGAAGACCACCTTCCTTGTCCTTCTGGCTACCCCTCTTCTGATGTAGCCTAGGATACTGCTGGCCTTCCAGTCTGCAACCACACACTGCTGGCTCATGCTAAGTATTTCACCTCCTAAGACCCCTATATCCTTCTCAGCAGGGCTACTCTCAAAGAATTCTTCTCCAAGTCCATATACATAGCTGGGATTACCCAAACCAAGTGCAAAATCTTATACTTTCTTTTGTTAAACCTCATTGGCTTCACATGGGCCCACCTTACAAGTTTATCAAGCTTCATTCTGGCTGGCATTCCTTCCTCCTGCCATATCAACTAGAATCATAGAATTATAGAGTCACAAGGTTGGAAAGGACCTGCAAGATCATCTAGTCCAACCATCCTCCCATCACCATTGCTACCACAAGCACTAAACCATATCTCATAGCTCCTCATGCAGGCACCTCTTGAACACTGCCAGGGATGGCGACTCCACCACCTCCCTGGGCAGCCATTCCAGTGCCTGACCACTCTCTGAGAGAAAAAGTTCTTCCTCATGTCTAACATAAACCTCCTCTGGTACAAATTGTGGTCATTTCCTCAGGTCCTGTTTGTTGCCTGGGAGAAGAGGACAAAACCCTCCTCATCACAGCCTCCCTTGAGGAAGTTGTAGAGTGCAATGAAGTCTCCCCTGAGCCTCCTCTTCTCCAGAGTAAATAATCCCAGCTCCCTCAGCTGCTCCTCATAAGATTTGTGCTCCAGATCCCTCACCAGTTGCGTTTTCCAGGGCCTCAATGTCTTTTTTGTAGCGAAGGATCCAAAACTGAACACAGTACTCAAGGTGCGGCCTCACCATTGCTGAGTAGAGGTGGATGATCACCTCCCTGCTCCTGCTGGCCACACTGTTTCTAATGCAGGCCAGGATGCCATTGGCCCTCTTGGCCACCTGGGCACACTGTCGGCTCATGTTCAGCCGAGCATCAACCAACACTCCCAGGTTCCTTTCCTCTTGACACTCATGCAGCCACTCAGCCCCAAGCCTACAGCGCTGCATGGGGTTGTTGTGCCCAAAGTGCAGGACCCGACACTTGGCCTTGTTGAACCTCATCCCATCCACCTCAGCCCAGTGATCCAGCTTATCTAAATCCCTCTGAAGGACCTTCCTACTCTCAGGAGCAATGACACCACCTCACAGCTTGGTGTCATCTGCAAACTTACTGAGGGTACACTCAATCCCCTCATCTAGGTCATCAATAAAGATATTAAACAAGATGGGCCTCAGACCCCTGGGGGACACCACTTGTAATGGGTCGCCAGCTGGACTTCACTCCATTCACCACTACCTGTTGGGCATGGCCCTCTAACCAGTTCCTTACCCAAAGAAGGGCATACCTGTCCAGGCCTTGGGCAGCCAGTTTCCCCAGAAGAATTATGTGAGAGACTGTGTCACAGTCTTTGCTAAAGTCTAGGGAGACTATATCAACAGCCTTCCCCTCATTTGCGAGTCTGGTCACCTAGTCCTAGAAGATGAGGTTGCCTTTCATAAACCCGTGCTGGCCGGGCCTGACCCCTTGGATGCCTCACACATGCCGTGTGATCTCACCCAAGATGATTTGCTCCATAACTTTCCCTGGTAGCAAGGTCAGGTTGACAGGCCTATAGTTCCCTGGATCCTCCTTATGATCCTTCTTGTAGATTGGAGATCTGCAAATCTCCAATCCTCTGGGACCTCTCCAGATAACCAGGAGCACTGGTAGATGACCAAGTCCAGCTTGGCAATCACCCCCGCCAGCTTTGTCAGCAACCTAGGATGAAGCCTGTCCAGTACCATGGATTTGTGACAGCCCAGATGGAGGAGGGGCTCTCTAACTGTATCCACCTGAATCACCCGGGATGCATTCTGCATAGCATCCCAGACTTCCAGATCAGGGCGTAAAGTCCCTGAGAATAACTGATCTGCCTATTAAAGGAAGATGTAAAGAAGGCATTGAGGACCCCAGCCTTCTCCTTATCCTCAAAATACCATATGACACCATTCAGCTTGGTGTCATCAGAGAACTTGCTGAGGGTGCACTCACTCCCACCATCTATGCCATTGATAAGGATGTTAAAGAATACCAGTCCCAAGGCAGACTCCTGGACAACACCATTCGTGACCAGCCTCCACCTGGACACAGAGCCATTGACCACAACCCTCTGGCTGTGACCACACAACCAATTACTTACCCACCAAACAGTCCACCCTAGAAATCTATCTCTCTCCAATTTGGAGATAAGGATGTGGTTGGACCATATCAAAGGCCTGTCACAAGTCCAGGCAGATGATACCAGTTGCCCTTCTTTGGCCCACAGATGCTGTCACTCCATCATCACAGAAGGTGATCAGACTGGTCAGGCATGATATGTCCTTGGTGAAACCATGCTGGCTGTATGGGATTGCCAGCTCGTCCCTGATGTTCCTTAATATATCTTCCAGGAGAATCTGCTCTATGATTTTCCCAGGCACAGTGTATACACGTATATACGTATGATTGTATATAAACAGTCTGACTAACTAGTTAACTGCTGATGAGCAGTCATAGACTAGTAAATTAATATAGAATGCTCAATAAAAGTGACTTATTTACTAAAAGAATTAAAAAAAGAGGAAAGCCTGCTAAAAACATTGCAGTAACTGTGCTCAGTATCAGCCCATCTTTATTTCTGTTCCTGGTAACTGAATCATCAAATGACACACAAAATGCAAACAGTAAATTGGCTTATGCATATTTTATGATGCTCTATATTTAAATCTATTTCAAAGTACTTTGTTCCTAAGGTAGAAATACAATCTTCTCTTTGGTATTATAATAAAGTGTCTTATTTGAGTAAGACTTATTTGGCCCAGCCTCACTAACATCAATAAGCATTCCACCTTGGTTTCAGCAGAAGAAAATGAAGCTGATGAATTATACTGATTTCTGTCAGGATTATTCAGAATATGGCATGAAGTGTAACAGTGTCTTGTATAGTTTCCAAACAAGCCTTATTAAAAAGGGAAAAAAGAAGCGCAGCACTGAAACTATATAATTTATGAGCTACTTACGGAATTACAATTTCTTTTTCTTTTCCACATTTGGCACAAACTTCTAGTTTACTAGCACATGGTCGACAAATAATGTGGTAAGGATCTTTCACAGCTTTCTGGAGGCACTTCACACTGTGAAGAGAAAGAAAACATAATTACTTGTTTCTTTGACAAGCACTTATTAAATATTCTGTGTTGAAAGACAACACACACAACACAGAGAGCCTTCAAAAGAATTTCTATAGTCCACTCTAATTCTTTAATATTAAAACTAAAACTGAAGAAAAAATATTAAATCAAAAAAAAAATCTCACATTAAAGTGACAAAACAAATCTTTCAATTCATTTCAATTGGTTATTTTGCTTTAAAAGCTGCATAAATTATTCATCTGGCTTACCAATAAAAGAAAATAAAAACACAGTATAAGAAGGTGCATAGATTTTCACAGATTAAAAGGTTTCAATCAAAACAATGCAATGTCTTTTTCTTGAACTTCTCAGAATGTAAACAAAACCAGTGCTGGACTTTGCTTTCTACAAATCCATGCCTGCAAGGAACTTTATCCTAAACAAAACCATCCTAAATTTCTAGAGGTTTTTGGTTACTGTTATCAAGTATGGTAGAACTCTGTACATCAAATAATTTCTGAAATGCTACGGCTTAATGTTCAGCAGACACTTTTAATGCCTTGTATTTTTGGTGAACAGAACCTGGAATTAAATAACCCACACTAGGCAGCTGTCTTAAAATAAGTCATCCTTGCTTGGTTCTTCAGGCACTCAAAGTCTATCAGGAAAGCTTTTAGTATGTAGCATACAGTTCTAAACACTCAATTTGTAGACTAACAGGCTAAAGACAAACATCAAGTATATATCAATGTCTTGTAAGACTCTAGCATCTCTACAGCTCTTCTCAGTTGTGTCTCACTGTACACTATTAATGCAAGCCAGTTTGTCTTTAATACTTGAATTTTTAATACTTAAATACCCAAAATGAAATTAAAGGCTAAGCTGTAGTTCTACTAAAAATTGTAATTTAAAAAGAGGTTAAAAAAATATAAATAAATATATATGCATAAGTCCTTGATTTCCATACTCTGTGATGTATTTCAGTTTCTTAGCTTGAAAGTCATGTTTTTAAAGTATGTATTTATTTCATTTTGAAGCGTAACCAATTGAAATTCTTAATAGCCTAGGTCTTTCAGAACACTGGCCCATTCAGCCAGCATAGTACCAATGGATGTGGGAACAACAACAAAAAAATAACTGCAGAATTACAGAGTTAAGAATGATATGAAGTCTAATTTTCTTGTTCAAAACTATGACAACATACTTAGTCAGAAGCAGCTGTCCTGCAAAGCCACTTTTTCTATTCCTCATGTGCTTCCCTGATTTACAAATCTTTTTGTATCCTTTTTTTTTTTTTCTTACTTTTGGAGGTGGATAGAGAGAAGACAAAACAATCAAGCCTGTCAAGATCCATCTAGTTGACATCCCTTCCTTCTGCCATATCAACTACAACACTCAGCTTGATGTCATCAGAGAACTTGCTGAGGGTGCACTCACTCCCACCATCTATGCCATTGATAAGGATGTTAAAGAATACCAGTCCCAAGGCAGATTCCTGGACAACACCATTTGTGACCAGCCTCCACCTGGACACAGAGCCATTGACCACAACCCTCTGGCTGTGACCACACAACCAATTACTTACCCACCAAACAGTCCACCCTAGAAATCTATCTCTCTCCAATTTGGAGATAAGGATGTGGTTGGACCATATCAAAGGCCTGTCACAAGTCCAGGCAGATGATACCAGTTGCCCTTCTTTGGCCCACAGATGCTGTCACTCCATCATCACAGAAGGTGATCAGACTGGTCAGGCATGATATGTCCTTGGTGAAACCATGCTGGCTGTATGGGATTGCCAGCTTGTCCCTGATGTTCCTTAATATATCTTCCAGGAGGACCTGTTCCATGATCTTTCCAGGCAAAGAAGTGAGGTTTATCAGCCAGTAACACTTCACTTCTAGTTGGTCTGTCCAATATCTGGATCAGGAATTTATCCTCAGTAGACTCCAGGATTACTTGTATCATGCCATGTTGTTTTCCCAGCAAACTTCCAGGTGGCTGAAATCCCCCTATGAGGATAAGATGCTGCAAGCACAATGCCTCCTGTAGCTGAAGCAAGAAGGTCTCGTCAACAGGTTCCTCTTAATAAGGCAGCCTGCAATTAACCCTGACAATCAGATGTCCTTTGTTGGTTTCGTCCCTGATTTTAATCCACAAGCTCTTAACCTGCTCATGGCTGTTTCTCAGTCAGCTGTTTGCAATCTACCCTCTTCTTAACATAGAGAGAAACTCTATTGCCCCTCCTACCTTGCCTATCCCTTCTAAAAAGACTGTAGCCCTCAATCACAGTATTTTGGTTGTATGATTGGTCCCATCATGTTTCTAAGATAGCAATTGGGTCAGAGTTTTCTAATTACCAAGTTTCCATCTCCATACACCATGCTGTGTGCATTGGTGTAGAGACACTTCAGCTGGCCTATTGACCATGTTACCCTCCCATATGTCCTAAGTTCCACCGGGATAAATCTGAGGTTTTCCCCTTCTGCTTCCTAAAGTGACAGCATTTCCAGCTCTTCTCTGTCACTCAGTAGCACATCTCCTTCCTCCAACAAATTTAGTTTTATGCTCTGATGATCAGTCCTGCCAGCTAGCTGCCCAGGTATGTTCTTTGCCATCCTGCTTAGTTATATCCCAACCAACATAAGCATGTCCAGTTTATACAAAGGTGCAACCTAAATCATACAATCAAAAGACACCCATGCGTCCATTCACAAACTGGTCTATTCTCTTCCTGGTTCCTAGTATCCAACCAGGAGGACTGAGGAGCACTGTCAACGGTTTACAGGCTGGTTTGGCCCAGCTCTGTGACTAGGAAGGCGGAGGGATTTTGCAAATCCATACCTCCAGAAAAGGGAAACAGGGAGCCCAAAATAAAAATAGCAGCAACATCTGAGGAGAATCAAATTAATTTACTAAATATGGTATCAGAATGCATGACAATACACCATAATACAATATAATTAGAATCGAAGCTAATACATATAATGAGAGAGAGTGTCTGAAAGGTGGATAGGCCTCACCATAACCTCACCATTGAGGTGAGATGCGCAGTCTGTTTGAGCAACATGGAGGAGAGCCTGACTTAGAAGAGGAGGTCAGATGACCTACCACGGCCTTATGTCTGTTCCCCCTGAGCAGAAATGATAACAGCACAGTGAACAGTCTTCTAGGGAATCTAGTTCTTCTTCTCTTCTGGGTACCCAGAGCTGGAGCATTAACACTTCAACTCCCAGTGGACTACATGATGTTATGATGTGGAACACCAATAACCAAAAATCACAGAAGCATGACAAGAATACTACCTATGCTTCCACTCCCTTCATCATCTTCCCAAGGGTCAAAAAGTCCTTTTTAACATTTTGTAATTTCCTAGTTGCCTTCTGTCAACGGTTTATGGGCTGGTCCGGCCCAGTTCCGTGACCAGCAGG